AAAATTGCCATTTTTTACTATGTTAATTCTGCCTACTCAGGAGCATGGGAGAAATTTCCACTTTCTGCTGTCTTCTTCAGTTTCTTTCTTCAAAGATTTGAAGTTCTTGTCAACAAGTCTTCCACTTGTTTGGTTAGAGTTACTCTGAGATATCTTATGTTATTTGTGGCTATTGTGAAGGGTGTTGATTCTCTGATTTCTTCCCCAGCCCATTTATCATCTGTATACAGAAGGGCTACTGATTTTTTTGAGTTAATCTTGTATTCTGCTACATTACTGAAAGCGTTTATGAGTTCCTTGGTTGAATTTTTGGGATCGCTTATGTAAACTATCATATCATCGGCAAACAGTGAGAGTTTGACTTCTTCTTTTCTAATTTGTATCCCTTTGATCTCCTTTTGGTGTCTTATTGCTCTAGCTAGGACCTCAAGAACTATATTGAATAGATTTGAAGAGAGTGGACAACCTTGTCTTGTTCCTGATTTCAGTAGAATCACTGGGAGTTTCTCTCCATTTAGTTTGATGTTGGATGTTGGCTTGTTGTATATTGCCTTTATTATGTTTAGGTATGTTCCTTGTATCCCTGCTCTCTCCAAGACCTTTATCATGAAGGGATGTTGTATTTTGTCAAAAGATTTTTTGGCATCTAATGAGATGATCATGTGGTTTTTGTTTTTCAGTTTGTTTATATGGTGGATTACGTTGACTGATTGTCTTATATTGAAACATCTCTGTATCTCTGGGATGAAGCTGACTTGATCACAGTGGATGATGGTTCTGATGTGTTCTTGGATTCGATTTGCCAGTATTTTATTTAGTAATTTTACATCAATGTTAATGAGTGATATTGGTCTGTAATTCTCTTTCTTAGTAATGTCTTTGTGTGGTTTGGGTATCAGGGTAATTGTAGCCTCATAAAGAGTTTGGTAGTGTTCCTTCTGTTTCTATTGTGTGGAATAATTTGAGGAGTATTGGTATTAGTTCTTCTTTGAAAGTCTTGTAGAATTCTGAACTGAAACCATCTGGTCCTGGGCTTTTTTTGGTTGGGAGACTTTTGATGACTGTTTCTATTTCTTCAGCAGTTATAGGTCTGTTTAATTTGCTTATCTGGTCTTGATTTAATTTTGGTAAGTGATATTTATCCAGAAAATTGTCCATTTCCTTTAAGTTTTCCAATTTTGTGGAGTACAGGTTTTTGAAATATGACCTGATGAATCTCTGTATTTCCCCCATGTCTGTTGTTATGTCCCCATTTTGATTTCTGATTTTGTTAATTTGGATATTCTCTCTCTGCCTTTTGGTTAGTTTGGATAAAGTTTTGTCTATTTTGTTGATTTTCTCGAAGAACTCTTTGTCTCATTGATTCTTTGTTTTCTTTTTTCTACTTTGTTGATTTCAGCTCTCAATTTGATTATTTCCTGCCATCTAGTTCTCTTAGGTGTGTTTGCTTCATTTAATTTTAGAGTTTTCAAAAGTTCTGTTAATTCACTAGTGTGAGATTTTTTTCAGCTTCTTTATTTAGGTGTTTAGTGCTATGAACTTTCCTCTTAACACTGCTTTCATTGTGTTCCATAAATTTGGGTATGTTGTGTGGTCATTTTCATTGAATTTTGGGCAGTCTTTAATTTCTCCCTTTATTTCTTCCTTGACTCATTGATGATTCAGATGAGTATTGTTTAATTTCCATGTGTTTGTGGGTTTTCTGGAATTAGTATTGCTGTTGACTTCTAGTTTTAAACCATGGTGATCTGATAAGGTACATTGGGTTATTCCAATATTTGTTGAGGTTTGTTTTGTTACTTAGTATGTGGTCAATTTTTAAAAAGGTTCCATGAGGTGCTGAGAAGAAGGTATATTCTTTTATATTTGGATGGGATACTCTATAGATGTTTGTTAAGTCCATTTGAGTGATAACATCTGTTCTCTTATTTGAGTCATAACATTAGTTCTCTTATTTCTCTGTTCATTTTTTGTCTGACTGACCTGTCCTTTGTTGAGAGTGGAGTGTTGAAGTCTCCCACTGTTAGTGTGTGTGGTTTAATGTATGATTTAAGCTTTAGAAGTGTTTTTTTTTTTGACATATGAGTGTGTCCTTGTATTTGGGGCATAGATGTTCAGTACTGAAATTTCCTCTTGATGGATTTTTTCCTGTGACTAATATGAAATGGCCTTCTTTGTCTCTTCTGACTGAGTTTAGGTTGAAGTCTATTTTGTTAGATATTAGGATAGCTACACCCACTCGTTTTGTAGGTCCATTTGATTGGTGTATTTTCCCCAACCCTTTACTCTAAGGTGATGTCTGTAATGACATTGATTTTTAAAGCTGAATAATCCTCCATTGTGTAAATTTACCATATTTTCTCTATTCATTCTTCAGTTTAGGGCCATCTAGGTTGTTTCCAGGTTCTGGCTATTATGAATGATGCTGCTAAGAAAGAACATAGTTGAGCAAATGTCCTTGTGGTATGACTGAGTATCCTTTGGGTATATGTCCATGAGTGGTATCGTTAGGTTTTGAGGTAGATTTATTTCTAATTTTCTGAGAAACTGACATATTGATTTCCAAAGTGTCTGGACAAGTTTTCACTCCAACCAGCAGTGGAGGAGTATTTCCCCTTACTCCACATCCTCTGCAACTTTAGATGTCCTCAGTATTTTTTATCTTAGCCATTCTGATAGATGTAAGATGGTATCTCATTGTCATTTTGATTTTCCTGATGATTAAGGATGTTGAACAATCTCTTAAATGTCTTTTGGTCACTTGAGATTCTTCTGCTGAGAATTCTGTTTAGATCTGTACACCATATTTAAAATGGGTTATTTTGTATTTTGGTGTCTAGTTTCTTGAGTTATTTATATATTTTTGAGATGCCCTCTGTCAGATGTGGGGTTAGTGAAGATCATTTCCCATTCTGTAGGTTGTCATTTTGTTTTATTTATCAGCTTTAGAGCCTCCATGGGACCAAACTAGGCCCTCCATAAGGTGGTGAAGCTTTGAACATCTGAGAGGCCCCTGGCAGTAGGACCAGGAGCTATCTCTAGAGTATGAGCTAACTTGTTGGAGCCCATTCCCTATGGTGGGATGCCATTATGCAGCAGGGAGAGGCTTGGTCCTGCCCCAGCCTGATGTGCTAGATATTGATGACTCCCCATGGAGCTAGACCCATTGGGAGGAATGGATAGCGGGTAGGCTGGGGGGAAGGGAAGGGAGGAGAACTGTGCTTGGAATGTAAAATGCAATTAAAATTAAAAAATAAGATATCAGGGCAATCACAGGATGCTTCTTCTTGGGAAAGTATTCATGCAAATTTAATCTCATAAATATACTTCCAGTGTATATTTCATCCATAGAACAAGATTTCCCCACAGTAGTAAAAACCATTACACCAAAACCAGGCTCAGAAGCCTCATTGGTGGATTCCTTCAAATATGTAAGCAAATAACAAGAACAGAAGACCACGCACTGTGGAGTCAGCATAACCTTAATATTCCATCTTCTAGAATGTGTGTGTATATGTGTGTGTCCAAATGAGCTATTTTTAGATAAATATACTGTGCTGGATCTGATAGATGATGGTAGAACTCTGCCCTAACTGGGTGAATCCCAAGACATATGAGACAGAAGAGAAAGTAGGTCTATTCTGTGAATGTGGTCACTTTGTTTACTAAATCAAATAGAAAGGGGGCACCTGGATTTGAACCAGGGACCTCTTGATCTGCAGTCAAATGCTCTACCCCTGAGCTATGCCCCCACTGGTGCCAGTGTACATTTCATCTGTGTGGTGATAAATTCTGACTATAAAGTTAAATTACAGATCTTCTCAGACCTACTTCCCAGAAGCAGCCAGACCTGACTGGTGAGATGCCTTCCTCAGCTCTGCAGCAGGCCTGGCCCATCCATTTGAGCACCATCAGCCAAGGAAATTAGAGGAGCAGTCTGCAGACCTGAGCCCATTTCACCCTGCTGTCCTGGGTCAGCTCCTGAGCTGCCAACTGCCTTCCACCTGGGTCTCCATCACCCTCTCCTCCTTCCCTGAAGACAGAGTGGGCTGTCACAGGGTCATACTATCTTGGTAGCCACAACACTGCAGGGTCCCTCTCTCCCTGGTACAGCAGCTGAGTCAGGTTTTACCCTTTGATGATGAAGCAAGAGAGCAGGGGGCTCTGGAAGGGGAAGAAGCTCACATGAGTAACGTCCACACTCCACAAAATACCTGATTCTAGGATGTGTCTCCTTAGCACTGAGCACATGTTCACCAGACAGCCATGAAAGGAGATAATTTATGGTTTCCTTTCTGGTCCTTGGATACCAGCTGTCTGTATGGATGCTGAACCTGGAAATTTCAAAAGAATTCTCCACCATCGTCCTTGCCTTCTCTTTAAGAACCCAACATAACCAGAGAAACCAGATACATGTAGGAAAAGAGCTGACATAATAAGAATGGGAGGGACATTGAGCTTGTAGGGAGAGATGGGAGGCAGCACTCATCTTCATGAAGGGCTGAGCAGCTCTGCTGAGTACCATAAACAGAATGAATGGAAAAAACACAGGACTGAGCGTACATGATAACTCCATGAATAAAAACATAGACTTATGGTAGGGGGCACCCGGATTTGAACCGGGGACCTCTTGATCTGCAGTCAAATGCTCTACCCCTGAGCTATGCCCCCTCCATGTCAGAGATGTTTTATAAGTGCCTTAACCTTCATAGTCACACCCAACATTACTACGACTTATACTTTTTACTTGGCAAGACCAGCACTGCTGCCTCCACAAACTCATCTCAGACAGGTCCCTCTCCTGTCCCCGGTATCTTCAACTTTGTCCCATGTTGTAATGTCAGCACCCTCCCACACACATCTGAGCCTGTGGGAGCAGCACAGCTGGAGACAGGTGGACATAAGTTACTACAAAGGACTTCAGATTTATATGTCTGATTTCTTCAGTTATATACAAGCCCTCAGAGTGTAGAGACCCTGCCTGACTTCTTTGGGGAGCCATGTGGTACCTGCATGTGAAGACATCTCTCCAGCCCATGGATGACCTATGTGTTAGCCCTGAGGGTGGCTCCTGGGGAGATGGTGAAGATGTCTCTTCAGGCCTGAGTAGTTATCCAGGAGACCCGACAGCAGAGCAGGAGGACAGAGGGTCAGGGGATGCTGAAGCTGTGGACCCTACCTGTCCTTCAGATCTGTCACCACTGCACAAACTCACTGCCATGAGTTTTAATGAACTGATATGGCATAATTAAATTGTTTTGAATATTCAATAATTTTTTTAAATTATTTTTTTAAAAAAACATGCATTATCCTGAATCCTCCTCTTATTGCTCCTGTCACCCAAAGGGAGCCATTCTCCAAAGGCTTAGCCATCTCTTCTCCTCTGCCTGTGCACTTACGTAAACTATGTACAGCATGGATGTCCTATTTAGTCAGGGCAGACATCAGTAACTGACTGACTTGTAGATGAGGATTATAATTTCCATGCCTTCTTCCATTCACAGTATCCTATTCCATTCCTGATCCAAGTTTTAGTTGGATGAGCTTCTCTGTTTTTATCATGATAATCTGTTAACACTGTGTGTGGCTGAAGTGCATCAGTCTAAACAGGACAAAGACATGTGGTAGAACTTTTGATTGTTCTGAAGTTGGTTACAACGTTATGTTTAAACCGTTTCATTTCCTTTAAAACATTTCTTCCACAAGCCTTGAGTTCTCTATGAAACACTTTTCAGAATAATTTTCCATGCATGGAAATGTTTCTATTGTCTAATGAATATTTCTCCCTTCTGTTTTCCAGGAGTGACCTCGCTCCTGCTCCTTTTGTTCCAGCTGCCCCCAAATCTGCTGCATGGTCAGTGTCCTGCGACGACCTTCACCATGACTCTTCTGTTCCACCACCTCTTCTGTGTGCGAGTCTCTTTTCCAGATGCCAACTTCTTCAATGTTTAACAAAATGGCATTCTTTTGTGGCCATGAACTCCTGTGAGAGTTGAATAAAAGGAAAATTTCTAGCGTTTGTATGACTGATAAGACCTATAATTCTTCCACACACTATGCTGATAGTCAGGACACTTACCTTAAATATTTTTTCATAAATAACGTGGTAGTTTGAATGATAACAAATTCATAGGCTCATATATTTGAACGTTTGGTCCCTATTTAGTGAACTGTTTAGGAAGGATTAGGAGGTGTGACCTCGTTAGAGGAGATGCATCTCTGGGAGGGGCTTTGTGGTCTCAGAATCCCATATCAGACCCAGTTCTACTCTCTGTCTCCTGCTTATGGATCAGATGTAAACTGTTAGTTACTGGTCCAGTGCCTGCCCACCTGCCACCATGCTTCCCACCATGATGATCATGGACTAACCTCAGATATTGTAAGCAATCCCCCATTAAATACTTTATAAGTTGCCTTGATCATGGTGTGTCTTCACAGCAATAGAACAGTATATTAACTGTTTATGTAACAGTATAGTAACACAGAATAGTAAGTGAGAATTTGATTATCAGGGCCTGGGTATTGCTTTGACAGGCCTGCCCATGCTGCTTGTTGGAAGAATAAGAAAGAAGTTGGGGTTTTGGATTAGAAAGGCAATTGAGTACTGTAAGTTTGACTTACTGGGTCATATCATTAGGAACGTGGAAAACAGTAGTGCTCACAGCAATGTGATTGTGGAGTTCTAGTTCAAAATAGGAAGGGTGAGAGAGCTGGCCCCGATAGCATGGACATGGGTGAGATGGCCCTGATGCTTGCCGGAGCAAAAGAGCTGGCAAAGCTGTCCCCTCTCCTCATTGATGCACCTTGTGAGAGTGCTGGCCCTGCCCCTTATCAGAGGCTAGATGGTGTAGACTCAGGAGAGCTGGTCCTACCCCTTGTCTACTGGTATTGAGAAAACTGGCCTTAGTGGTGAGGTGCAGGAGAGGAAGGGTCACTGGAGAGCTGGCCCAGATGACATTTGAGTAGGAAAGCTGGCCCCACCCCACGCCAGCTAACACATACACACAGGAGAGCTGGCCTCTCCCGTCCCCTCCACAGAGCAGGAGAGTCAGCCTGATGGCAGGGGTGCAAGAGGACTGGCCCCAACAAACACTTGGGCAGAGTGGGAGAAGTGGCTTTGGTGGCATGGGAGCAAGAACCAGTCTCAGCTCTCACCGGTAGCATTACTGCTGTGGGAAAGATTGTCACATCCCTCGACTGGGCAGAGTGGGAGAGCTGACCCTGGTGGTTTGAGTGCAGGAGAGCTGGCCCTGATTGCATGGGGGTAGGAAAGCTGCAACCATCTCTTGCCCAGGTGGTATGGGATTGCTGGCCCCAGAGGCTTGGGCATGGGAGAGTGGGAGAGCTGGGATGCGGACCAATTCAACTACCATCCAGGCCCAGATCCAAGGCTTTGAGTTGGCTCACACCAACATCTTCCCAGCCTAGGAGGTGTTGGAGCACATGAGGGCCCTGCAGGTCCATAGCTACAGAATCCCAACAACTCAGAGCAACAGCAGAATATCTGAGTTTCTATGAGGGTCCAGTATTGATGCTGTAGCAGAAGCCAGAGGCCATGAACTAGCCTCATGACTTATTGCAAAGAACATTTGCAAGTAAAAATGTTTGAACTGTTTTGGCAAAAGAATATATACTGTGCAACATACCACAACTTCCAATGGCACAATGACAAATAAATATGGGATGGAGATTAGAGAAAGACAAAGGGGCAGAATGGTACATACACAGAAAGCTGTGCTTGAAAAGGGAGCAGGTTGGTGACTAAAAGGGTCGACTTGATGGCTTGTTTGTTTTGTTTTGACTTCCGCTTCTTTCTTTTCTATTTTTAATTTATTTTTATTTACTTTTGGGGTGGATTCTACATGGTTGGAGGGCAAATATGGATGAAACAGCAAATGTGTGGGATTTGGTGTGAATGCCCCAAAGATTAAATGAAAAAAATATTTTGAAAAAATATTTTCATTTATTCTTAGAGAACTTCATAGAATGCATTTTGATCATATTTGCTTTGAACTATTTCTTTTAACTCCTCTTCACAGATCCAACCCACCTTACATCCCCAGGACTGTGTCCTTCAATTTGTGCTATCACATGCTTCTGAGAGGGAAGCCATCCATATCATTGACTTACCATAAGGCATACCCAAACAGAAAACTGTTTTCTCTCCCTCATAAGCCATCAATTGCTTAAGATCCAACCCTTTGCACTTGGCTCTTACAGGTGGGAGAGTGGATGAGCTGAATGCAGGCTTCCATGCATTAGTGCTTCCGTCACAGCTGTGAACTAGGATAGGAGGGTGCTGGCATGAGGAGGTGGCAGACAGGTGTGCAGCTGGCTGAGGGCTGGGACTCACAGGAGAAAGCAGATGAGAACAGAGTACTAGCAAGTACACATGTCAGGGAGTGGCCATACAGGTTCAGAGATGTTTATTAGATATATATGAAGCAGATGGGGGCATAGCTCAGGGGAAAAGCATTTGACTGCAGATCAAGAGGTCCCCGGTTCAAATCCGGGTGCCCCCTTCCTAGGTGTCTTTTTTAGATACAAGAAACAAAATCTGATATTGGTTAACACAGAGGCAACTGATATACTGTGTTCCCCTGTGCTCTGTGTTCTGCTCAGGACTGGACCCTGTTCTCTCCCCTGAGAGGAGCTAGTACAGGACTCACTGTGAACCCATCCAGGTCACACTCATGTTGTGGCATAGGCTGACCTCCAATGCACTGGGAAGGCTCCATCAGTGCAGGATTTCAGAGGAGTTCTACGAAGTTGAAGAGCAGATTCTTCCTCTGGTAACTTTCCAGAGTCAAGCCCTTGGGATAACCCTCCTGAGCCCCCAGAAAGGGGGATCCTTACATGATGTCCCCCCCAATCTGTGCTTTGATTCCTGATACTTCTGAAGAAATACTAGGATCCATGTATCTGTCTCCTATTTAGACTAAGACTCTGAGGAAAAGGAAAATGACTGACCTTGCTTTGTGTCCTCAACATGACTGATAGTGACCACAACATAGGAAACTCCATGGTGTCTGCTGAGTGAATAAACGATGCTGTGACATAAAGGGCCCCCTCCTCAGATCGTGGAAGACAAAGTTCTCTCTGAGCAAGCAAAGTTTGGACCATTGGAAACCCAGAACATCAGCTCTTGTCTTGGCCACTTCAAGAAAGTTAAGTGTGAACTTAAGGAAAACACCAGTTAAGAGTCATTTTTTGAGTGAAAGCTGATGTCTTTAGGATGCCTGAGAGAGGGGGCATTGATATGGGTTGACTGAGGTTAGAGAGGAGAAGATAGAGGCAGACAGAAATAGAAAAATATTGCCACATCAAGATCATTATCAGGAACCAGTAAATCGTGAACATATAGGAAACCTGGGTGTGGTGCCAAGGTGGAAGAGGTACTAATAAGAGAGAGGTTGCCTTCCCTATAAGTGGGGGTATAGCTCAGGGGTAGAGCATTTGACTGCAGATCAAGAGGTCCCTGGTTCAAATCCAGGTGCCCCCTTCCTTAAACATTATTTTAGTAGTTAACCTACCACATTTGCCTTGGGGAGGACCTCAGAGAAGCTAGGATGTCTCCATGAGAACCTCCCTCTCTAGGATCCAAAATAAAGAGTAATTTCATGTCTCAGGTGAGGATGACTTAGTCTCTTGACAGGACTCTCACTCAAGGAACCAAACACTCATGACTCTAAATCTACCCACTTCCCCCATTAGCACAACAATCATAAACTGAAAATGATGGGAGGAAAAAATATAAGAAAATTTACCATAAAGGAAGATATGTACTTCATCAAACTTTTCATGTACTGTGCATAATTGAGAAAACGCAAACTCAGTAGCAAATGTCAAAGAAATCTAAGTCCAAAGGGAAGATCTTAAAAACCAAGGATACAAGGAGCAGGCGATAAACACAGGACTGAAATCATCATGCTAGGTAACCTTTCAACAGCAGTTCTTGGCACTAGAAGGCAATAAGAAACACATTTGGGGGCTTCAGGATACCTCTGACCAACAACTCAAATGGAAGTGTCCCATGCCTGGGACAAATCACCTTCCTAATCAGAGAGCACTTCTCTGCTGGCATCCCTTCAGCAGAGGGCATTAGTGGCTTAGTGACTAAAATGCTTCAGCCAACCTCTGCTGACGTCCTGCACCTACTATGAGTCTTTGCCTCCAGGTAGTGTCTGTCCATGCTAGCACAGCCTCAGATTCTGACCTCCCGCTACCCACCATAGCCTGTCAGCACATCCTTAAATTCAGAATGCAGTTCTACACCTGATGGGCAGCTCTGGACCACACTGAGACCATTGCTCAGTGAGAGTGGACAGAAAGATTTGTTCTACCCTCATTTCTGCTGCTCTGATAAAATGCTGAGGCAAGAGGCAAGTGAGGGAAGAAAGGGTTTGTGTTAGCTCACAATTTCAGTATACAGTTCCTTATTTCAGCGAGGTCAAGGCAGCAGGAACTTGACGCACTTAGTCACATCACATCTACCCTCAACAGCAGAGAGAAATGAATGCACGCATGCTCGTTAGTGCTGAGCTCACTTTCTGCACTCACACTGTCCAGGATCCCTGCCTAGGGAACAGTGCTGTGTCCTCATGCATCAAGTGACTTAATCATCAGTACAATCCCCTACTGACAGGAACACAGGCCAACCTGATCTAGACACTGTATCCTTTGTGGACACTTCATTTCCAAGGTGATTCTACAGTGTGTCAAACTGACAATCAAAACTCACTGTCCCAGTGAGGATGAGAGAAAGAATCCAGATGGAGAGAACAAGAAAGTAGAGAGGACTCATCACAGGTCAGAGGTCAGCTGTGTGCACTGTACTAATGTACTTTGGGGGTTCCAGCCTTTGGGTTAGTGGCTGATTATAGTGTGGTTCCATTCTCAAATGGAACCCACAGAAGTAAATGGGGCGGGCATAGAAGCTCTGATCCTAGAAACCTCAGATAATAAAGACTTTCTAATCTCATG